AGAATACATGCCGCCGGCGTCACACAAAGGGCAGGTTGGAAGGTGGCTCGGGGTGCACCGTGGACCGCTCCCTGCGCGGGGAGGGAGCACCCGCACCCGGGCAGCCTGCCTCCCCACAGCCGCTCCTCTGCTCCTGCTCTGCAGGTCCCCAGCCCCCAGGAAGGCAGCGAAGAGGACGGAGACAGTGACTGAGCGGGGACGCCCCCGGAGACACGTGCACCAGGAGCCGCCGCCGCTGCCACCGGCCGCATCCCTCGCCAAGACGGGAGCCAAGACGCGGCCTCGCAACCTCAGGACCTCGAGACCCACATCACTCTCAGTTTCCCTCAGGAGAACCGGCCGCCAACCTGTCTCAGCTCAGCGTGAACTCTGTACACCTCAGCGTGTAAAGACACTATTTTTTTAAGGAAATGATTTTCTTACTAAATAGATACAAGCTTTGCTTAGTTACTCCTTTCCCTTTTTTGGTTCTTTCTGCTCCTTTCACCGTGTGCTGCATGGGGACGGGCGACGTGCGAGTGTGTGGACCGGACGTGCTCTGGTGGCTCCGGGGTTGAGACCCAGCAGGCAGTGCAGCGGGGGTTCTTTCCAGGACTCGGCCTCAAGCCCCCAGGATGGGGTGTGGCTGCGTGTAGCGGAAGCCTGACAGGTGGCCCAGACAAGAACAGGTGGCAGCTGGGCCCAGCACAGCGGCCCCCTGGGCTGGAGGAGGGCCTTTTCTCTGTCCAGCTGGCCCTCTTCAGCACCTGGCCTTCATCCTGTCAAATCCGCTTGGTCACGTCCGTCCTTGGTCTAGGCGGGAGGGGTTATGCAGATGAAGGGACATCACTGACCGACCATGTCTTTTAGCGAGGTCTCCCAGAAGGCCCACCAGCCACTTCCTTCCTTCCCTGGCCAGAGGCTTGTCATGTGATCACATCTAGCTGCAAGGGAGGCTGGAAAATGCCTTTTATAAAAAGTGACCCATTAGCAAAGAAGAGGTGGGTGGGTCACTGGCAAGTCTGCTGGAGAAGCGATGAGAGAGGACTTCAGGTGGGGAAGTGGTGTGTGTGCATGGGCACAGGTGTGCACGCATGCTTACGAGGTGTGTGCATACCCATGTGCATGCATGTGAGATGTGTGAGTACAGGTGATACATGCGATGTGTGCATGCTTACATGGCATGCGCACATCTGCGTGTATGCATGCATGCACAACAGGGTTAGGCAGATACCTTCCAGGGACTTCCCCAGATGTGCATTCCCACCATTTCAAATTACTCCATCTCCCTGGACTGGTGGGCCCCCCTCTTTCTCAGTAGGTGGGCTGCGCTCCCCTTTATCAGCCAATAGAAGCCCTGGGATGGGACCCCCCACCTTCCTGAATCCTGCTCCAAGCCTGTACTCACTCTCCTTCCTCCTTCCCCATGTTGCAGTAGAAGCCACCCTCTTGTCTGACACAAACGCCCTCAGACCCCATCATCACTTCCCACATCCCCATTAAACTGCCTTTTTCTTACCTTTAACATCTCTATTGCAGCATCAGCGCTCACAAACGTGGAGTCACTCCCATTATCCAACATATTTATCCCCTTCCAACTGCCCCTCGTGTGTCCCTTTTATAGCCAAGTTTTCTTCTAAACATTTTTTAGGGTGCGTAGTATCAGAGAGGGCATGTGCACCTGCATTTTGCTCAGGAGTTAATCGCTTTAGCCTGCATTTCTTTTTTTCTTTTTTTTTAAATAAAATTTTAATTGGAATATAAAACTCCTTCTTGCAAAGTGCACAATTCAGTATTTTTTTTTAAATATATTTTTTATTGATTTCAGAGAGGAAGAGAGAAGGAGGGAGAGAAAAACATCAACGATTCTTCGGCTGCCTCCTGCACCTCCCTCACTGGGGATCGAGCCCACAAACCCGGGCCTGTGCCCTGACCAGGAATCAAACCATGGACCTTCCAGCCTGCCGGCTGATGATCTACCCATTGAGCCACACCGGCCAAGGCTCACTGTGGTTTTCTGTGTGCATTTCCCGACCCCTGATGATACTGAGCATCTTCCCATGTCCTTACTAGACATTTTCTCCTGCGGCATGTCTGCGAGTTCTTTGCCCGCTCACAAGTAATCTGTCTTTTAACTGGGTTGGAAGTTCTTTACTCCGGATACAAGCGCCCTAACCGGCATATGCCTTGCACATGCTTTCGTTCAGCCCGCGGGTTGTCTTTTCTCAACGGCGTCATCGGAGTTTTGAATTCTGCTGACGTTCAACCTATCTGTTTCTCCTTTGGTGACTTCGGGTTTTGGGGGTCACTTCTCAGAAACCAGAGCTGTGCGGCCGGACACCTCCGTTTTGCAGCGTCAGCACTTCCACGCGGGCCTCGGACCCACGGCGAGGTCGCTTTTGCAAGTGCAGTGAGGTCGGGGTCGGGCGTCATTGCTGCACGGGTGGGCGCCCTCGTCCCAGCCTCTTTGCTTGAGGAGCCCAGGGATTCTGGGAGGCGACCCCCTTTGCTCCGTTCTCCCTCTGCCCTCGCGGAACTCACCTCCCAGACTGCAGACTATCGGCGAAGAAATCGCTCCAGTCGCGC